TACCTTATACATCACAAAACACCTCTTAGGTTTCAGCTAGCACCAGTCATAAGTCAAATGCAGCTGCTCAAGACTCCGAGTCTGATGATGCCCCTGATGATAGAAGAGGGTGAATAGGTGCAAGAAATGGTATAGTGCGAACAAAGAAAAAGGTGGTCAGGGAAGACCGGTTTTTGAGCCTATAGGCCTATACAGACTTCCGAATGTCGTGGATGGAAAGATCTCTTGCTCATGGAAGGCAATTCCTTACCAAGAATTTAGACAAATACAATCTGGCAATCTTGGAGCAGTTTACAAAGAGGAAGGGGTGATGCAGGTAGATGTCAAGGAACACCTTTTCCAGGAGTTCTACGCTAACATGGCACATATTGTTAAAGGGACAAAGGTCACCAAAGTGCATAATCTTAAAGTAAAATTTGATCAACGCACCCTGAAAAATTACCTCGGACTTGAAGAAGTGGAGCCGAAAGAGTATTTGGCTAAGTTGGCCGAGAAGGAGGAGGTTAGACCATGGCTCGTAGAGATTCTTCCACCTGGGCCTACTCCCCTTTGGATAGGTGCCGGAGTGTCAATCATCCGCCAGACTCTGAATTTTGAGGGAAAAGGGTGGCAGACATTTATGTGCACTAGACTTGACCCATGCCTGAAGGAGAATAACTTGTCGCTAGCAAGAGCAATGATGGCGCTAGCAAGAGCAATGATGGTACCTTCTATCATGGTCAGGTACCCAATCAATGTGGGTGCTCTAATGTCGGCCAATATCTCTCTTGTGGCACAGTAGGGTAACACTTACTACCCCTACCCCTACCCCCAGCACCATCACTGAGTACTTGACAGACTCCAAGGTGGATTCCTGGCCATTTGCCAAGGTCAAGCCAATCGGTCCCTTTGATCTGTATAAGTTGCAAGACCCAAGGAACCCGAAGAAGAGTAGTCAGCCTACCTCTACTGCTGGCCAGTCTGATGAGCCGGTAGTAGTAGCCCCTAGTCCCTATGAGATCTTTTCTACTTCAGTTGAGCCTACCACCAGTATTAGAGTTGTTATTCCTAAGTCATTACCAGCCCCTAGACCAGCTCTGAGGCCGGTGACTTTGCCTACGGGCCCACTGTCTGCCTTATAGGTTTCTCAGATGCTAATGAGTCTCAACAACTGGATGCAGACAACTACTTCAAAGTTGTCTGAGATATCTAGTTCAGTTGCAAGGCAAACCTCTACACAGTCGGACCCTTCAGACATTGACATGAAGCTCACAAAGGTCTTGGACAACCAGAAGGTGATTATGGACACACTGGTATAGCACGGTGCAGTGATTGAGCGGTTGACAAAGCAGGTGAAGAAGATGAGAAAGACACAGGCCAGCAAGAAGTCAGTTGACTCACTCTGAGATGAGGTGACTAAGATAGCTGAGGCTGGCAACATGTTATTAGACCCCACCCAGCCTCCCCCGAATCAGCATTCTCATGAGGATCCCACTACTCAGACTGAGGAGCCTTGCCTTGCATTCAGCACTGCTGCTGCAGTGCGTGATATGTTTACTTCTCATGCAGCTCCCGTAGAGGATGATGACACTATTCAGTTAGCTGAGCTGCCTCAGACTGATACCATGATGACTGAGGACCCTTAGGGAGTTTCTTCGCCCCTCTATGCCCTTTGATCTTATTTTGCTAAGCATTAGGGACAATGTTTCTTTTTATTTGGGGGGTGGAGAATTTTATATTTGATGATTGATACATTTGATGACACTGGGATGTAATAACAGGATGATTTTATTTTGTTTATCTTTAGTAGTTTGTTACATTTAGTAGTAATCTTTAATTTTGATTGTTTTGATAGTATAAATTTTATGTTTTTCCTTCTTTTGTTGATAATAAGCTTTTGGTTATCTTAATGTCACGGTTCTTTCCAAAAGTAATTTCTTGTGTGAATCGGGTGACTCTTCCCGAGGACGTATAGTGTGATACTTTCTTAAGGAAATGAGTTCATTTTATGTTTAGGTAACAGTAGTAGTAAGTAGTAATGAATAAAAGCCCTAATCAAGTTAGTCTATGAAAATGAGTTATTTATGCTTCATGTGGCACCAACATGCTTAATTGCATGTTTATGGTTCGAGACAAGATTATTGAAAGAAGTAGCTCTAGTAAAAGTGATTTTGAGGCTCTTGAGTTGTCTTTCATAATCATTAGGTGGTTGAGTGAACCACACCATAAAGATCTTTCACTTGATTGTGATTGTTGTGGGTTTTAGACTCTATCCTTTTTTACGGTCTAGTTGCATGAGAGGTGAGATGATATTTTGTTTCTAGTCCAAGTACTTGAGTGAATAATCTAGAACTTGCCCCGAATGTACTTCAATGCGAAATTTTAAGTTTGCTTGGTTTGAAAGATGATTGTAGGCTTTCCTTGGACCGTTTGAGCTTTCTATTGCCACCATATGATCATTACCCCTAGTCAACCTCTTTGAGCCTTTAGCCTTTCTCTGTTGATAACCATGCTACAAGCCTTAACTCGTTTTAAACATAATCTTCCCTGGCACTCGAACCCCCACTCATATATAGTAAGTGGCTCAAAGCCTAAGTTTGGGGAGGGGGTGGGGGAGTTAATAAATCAAAAAGAGTTATCAAGTCATTGAAAAGAGAGAAAAAGAAATGATCTCCATGAAAGAGAAAGTAAGAAAAGAAAGTAACGAGAACAAAAAGAAGTCCAAAAAGGGGACAAAAAGGGAGATTGATGAAATTAAATGAGGCAAGTACCTCTAGTATAAATATCAAGGGAGAAAAAGAATAAAATTGGCAATAAAGAGTGATGACAAGTTTCTCTAGCCCCCAAGAAAAAGAAATACCTCTAAGGGTTTGACAAATGTAAGCCAAGAAATGAGATGTGAAGTGCTTAAGGAAGGGTATAACCACTTATATCCCATATAGTATCATACCCCGATCCAAAAGCCTTCATTACAACCCGAAAGAAATCCTATTTTATTTCGAACCGAGTATGCTTGCATTAGTAAAGATTTACATGAGGGGAAAGCCTATGGTACTTGAAGCTTAACTTGTGACATTCCTTTGTGAGAGAAGAGTGAAACCTTTGTTGCTCTAGAAATTGAGTGTTAAAACTTGAAGTGAGTAGGGAAAATGGAAGATAAAAGAGGAAGAGTTTGGAGTCCAACATGATTTACATGAAAGAACAATAATCCTTGATGAATGAAGTTAATTCTCGAGGCTCAAATGTCACACTAGAGTTACAAGCAAGTTGCACATTTTTGAAAATTTTGACACCTTATTTAGAATGCATGAGTATTATCGATAATTGTTGGTCCCAACTGAGTATGAATGACTTAAAGGTGACTCTTTGAAATGATCATTCACTGAGGGAAGGATGGAACTAATCTAGTTTCTTGAGGACTAGCAAAGACTTAAGTTTGAGGGAGTTGATAAGTGTGAATTTTAAACACTTATCAGTACCTTCTTGCTTTAGTTTTAATCTGAAAGTAAAGATTTTTTTCCCAGAATCTAATGTATATGGGTGAATTGTAGGTGCGCTGGAGAATGTGAGCTCAATGAAGAAATCTAACTTAAAGAGGAGATGTTCCAGCTCAGATCAGTCAAGAGGAGAAATGCAAAGAACAGTGCAGTCCGCAGAATTCCATCTGCGTCCGCAAAAGCAAATGTGGCTCGCAGAAGATGACATGCAGCCGCAAAGGAGAAACTGAAGCTTTAGGGATATCAAGTAGAAGTGCAGTCCGCAAACCAAAAAGTGCGGTCGCACTTAAGGTTCGCACTGATAAAGCTAGAAAGATTAGAGAAGATACAACTGAACAAGTCTGAAGCCTCCTCGAAGTGCGGTCTGCAGCAATTTAGTACGGCCGCAGAAGCTTATGTGCAGCCGCAGAACTAATCCAACTGAAGGCACTCGCAACAGTAACATACCAAAGTGTGGACCGCAGTTGATAAAGTACGGCCGCAGAACCCTCTGAAGGGTATTTTTGTCGGAAATTTCAGAGCACTATAAATAGATGTGAAACACCTTTTTAGGACATCTTTTGTACTGTAGCAGCAGCTAGTAGTTAGTTTTAGCCACTTTGGGCAACCTTGAGCTACAACTAGAGAAGATCAATTACTTTTTCACTTTAATTTTAGTTTTATGTCTTCAATTACTTTTTCTTTTCATTTTTCTATGTTAATTACTATTTAATAGCTAGATTTTATCTAGGGTTGTAATCCAACCCTAATGTATAAAACTTATGGGTGTTTAATATTAATGCTTGTTATTGGTTGGGTTAATGTTATTTAGCCTTGTTTATGCTTTATAGTTAGAATTAATGGTTGCAAACAATGATTCATGCCTATTTGACTTTGTTCTTACTTGAGAAAGGGGAATTTAGTCTAGGAAAACTTGGCCAACAATAAATTGAGCTAATTGAAGTTTCGATTAGTTTGATTAAAGGATATGAACTAGAGATAGGGATAATCCAACTTGGACTCACATACTACCCTTTTGGTCTTGAAAAAGTCAATTTGGGCATAATCACTCTTTAACCGAGATGTATTGAGTGAGTACTTGTGCATTGAGAGTCATAACAAGCCTCAATCTACCAAGCAAGCATAGATTTACTCTATCCATTAGGTTTACACTTAGGTTAAGGTTACAACCCCAGGCCTTTCTCTATTTGATAAAAACATCAAAAAAAAATATTTCAATCATTATTTGCTCATTAGTTAGTTAAGTCTCTTAGTAGTTAATTTAGATAACAGTTACCCATTTTTGTTTGGAAGCTAAATTTAGTTATTTCGAGTTCTTTCTTGAGTGTTTACCTCAACACCCACTTTAAACTCCCCGTGAATTCGACCCCGACTCGCGTTGGGTTCTATTATTGTAGCGACAGTTTCATATTCCTTAATTGGGTGTGAATTGGACAAGATCACTGTNATATATATATATATATATAGACACACACACACACATGTTATCAAAGACACAATACATAAATTATCAAAGACACAAAGGATGGTGGAATACTGGAATCTTTAGTATATATAAACATGTCAACTAATGGTATATATGTGTGTATACATATTTTCCAATTACAATAAGGGAAGCCTAGACACTAATCAAGAAATGGAAGAAAAAACAATTGGGGCATACATTTAGCGATTCTCCAGCATATTATCAAATTCCGATTCCGCCAACCACTTTCAGGATTTCAGCACCAAGATTCTGGTGATTCCATCATATTTGGTATAAAAACTGTCTTTCACCAGTAAATGTCTTTGTCTGCACGATCTCTTTACTAATTTCCCAAATGATCTGCCAGAAAAATATAGTTGCAAGGGTCAGAGTTTACCACGATGCCAATCCCTTCATAAATAGAGTGGCCAGGGCAAAAATGAAATGAAATGGCCACATATCTTAACAGACTTTGATTTTCTTTCTCGATCAACAAAAAATTCTCCCGAGTCACTTCACTGGCTAAGGGATGCAGGATGCACTTCCAGCTCATTCTCATTGTAAATCTACAGAAACAAACCAAATTTGGTTGAGGTTTCTATAAAAAGGCAATGGTTCTTTATGGATTTTCTGTAGTGAGAAAGAGAAACCACCAGATATAGAATGTCTTTACCTCTATAAAACCGGGATCTGCGACCATCTTGGCGAGTTTGATTATCGTGCTTTGCATCACTCCTCTGTTGTATCAATGGTCCTGAGAACCCAACCCTTTTTTGTTTGCCATTGTAGTCCTGTTTCATTTAGAAAGATATACAGCTTTATCTCCAACATAGATATTCTGTAATATTGCTACTTTTGGGCCTTTACGAATACTAGGTTTCACAAGTAACATGGCTGCAGAAGCAAAAAAATTAAACTTCTATTGCATTACATGATATTTAAGTTACTCCATTTAGCAGGAAAGGTTCATCGCCGGTTGCTAATAAAGACTTGCCTTTCGAAATGCAATAAGGTGTCCTTATTTTCTTAGTTCTAAGATCATATAACATCTCTAAGGATACATATAACCGACCCCAACTTGTTTGGGACTAAGGCGTAGTGGTGGTGGTTGTATAATAGATCGAGGATACTAACCTCTGACAATTCTTGAGACTCGTGAGTATATTGCCTGCCAATAGAATGCGTGGCGTCATTGTTGCGGCCTCTGGCTTCAGTGTTGATCCTGCTAGAAAAGTCATAACTATCTTGCATGTTTAAATCTGAGGTATCTGCAGCATGTAGTACATTGGAAAGATCAAAGGCAATAAACTTTTGACTTCTTGAATTGTCCTGTGGATGTGGCCTTGTGGCTGCAGAATCTTGCTTTCTCTTTTTCGCCCAGGTAACGCCACTTGACGCTGTCATTTGAGCAGGGACAGATCGAATGCTTTCGCCTTGAGATTCTTCGGTCATCTGAGAAGCCTCTGACACTGTATCATAAGATGGTTTCATTGATATACGTGCCACGGTAGCTCCTTTTCCTTTAGAAATATGGCCGCTACCACCATTGTTTCTACGGCCATTGTGAATATTGGCTTCAGCTTCCTTCATAAATAAAAAGGAAGTGTGTCAATACACCATCAATACGGAATGTATCTGTATGAGAGACTGGACAAAGACCTCAGTTGAGACCACTATGCCGAAGTTGCTCGATTTTTGAAGAGCTTTTTGCACATTTCTTGAATCTCTTGAAGCTCCAGATGCTTTCACTGTGGAACTGGCCTTCTTTCTGAAAATGTAAGAGGTTGCAGATCAGATTAAGCTTCTAAACTGAGGGGAAGATAAGTGAATCATAGGAGTGGAGTTGCTCAAAATTAAGCAGTTGGAGATGGATGAAATAGATATGTTTAGGCTATAATGTTGAACTAGTACTCGAACTAGTGAAGGAACAGCGAAGAATCATCTTTCTTTTTGTGCATATAGATGCAGATTAAGTTTGTTGGCTTTTACTATATTAGTATATTTGTACCATCCAGATGACAAGCCGTCAATTTGAGGAACTACAAGCAAAAAATGCTTTCTACGAAGGACAAAGAAGAAAGTAATTCACCTCCGTGCTTCTTCTCGGAACTTTGCATCAATTTCCTTGTTCGGGGGGTACTTAGGCAAGCTTGACGGGTCACAAGCATAAGGCTTTGTACTGAAATACTGAAGAAAGGTATACGACAAATGTTGAACCAAAATATTAGCATGTTGGAGAATTGTCTTAAATGTTGTCCAAATTATGAGGTGAATATGGAAACAGGACAGTCACAAAAAACAGAGTTAGATCGAGGAAACTCAGTCTTCAGTAGTGCCAAGAAAAAGATTCATGGACTGCTATCCGAATGAAGACTTACCTCAGAATCATGAGCAGATGTAGCAGTTCCACGTCTATGAGGGTCAATTGAAAGAAGTGTTTCTATAAGGTTGACAGCAGTTTTTGGTAATTCTTTACATCTATCTCGGAGTGTACTCTCATAAGGATGTTGGGGTTTAAAAATTGTCGCAAGTGGAAGTTTAGACTTTCTCCAGTATTCGTCAGATGGAGAACCACAGAGCTTGAAGATTTTGTGCAATTGTTCAACCTGCAAAAAGTAGAGAAACATACTTTTTCATAATTGACTAAAATCAGTAACATTACAAGGTTACTTTGGCACAGGAGTAACATAAAATCAAACAATCATTTTTCATTGATATTCTAGTAGTGTAGCTTCATTGTGTCCCATTTGTCCAAGCTGCTATGAGAACTATGTAGGAAATGTTATCAAAGGCAATACTAAACTTCTAAAAAACCACATACCTCAGTCCTCCCTTTCAGGAGAGGCCTCCCGAAAAATAGCTCTGCAAAAACACAACCAGCACTCCACAAATCCACCGTTAGCCCATAATTTGTGGATCCCAGCAGAAGTTCAGGAGGTCGATACCATAAAGTCACTACGCGGCTGGTTAGTGGTTGCTTGTGCCTAGCACTAAGGAAATTTGCAAGACCAAAATCTGCTATCTTTAGAATTCCTTCATTGTTTATCAAAACGTTGGATGCTTTAATATCTCGGTGCATTATACCTCGGGAATGACAATGCTCTAGTCCACTCAGCAGCTGCCGCATATAACATTTGATCTACTTCCATCCAAAAAAAGAAAAAAAAATTGAGATGTTCTTTTCCTTTTTGCAAGTCAAGAAATTCAAACAGTGACCTTAACACCAAATTTAATGGTAGAGACTAGAGAGCCATAGCTTAAATATTAACAAACCTGTGAATCAGTGAACTTGATGTCAGGACATGACAACAGTCCAGAGAGGTCATGTTCCATGTATTCGAAAACAAGGTATATGCAACATGATAACCGAGAAGTGACTATTCCGATCAGCTTCATGATATTTGGATGGTCAAGTTTGCGAAGAATTGTTATTTCTCGGGCCATAAATCTGACACTGTCTGGCTGGAAATTGTCAAATTTCACCTTCTTCAGGGCAACCATTTTACCAGTCTCGATGTCACGTGCACGATAAACACTGCTGTACGTACCTTGTCCAATCTACAGATGTGGAAGGCAGAACAAAGTGTTTGTAAGAAGAAAAGCAGTTTGCATTCGTAAGATGATGATATACAACTGTAATAGCCTGTCCTAATGTCAGTGTCTCAATGCATTAGGTGTTCAAGGCCTAAATATGTCGTCACTTTTGAAACTATAGATAAGTAAGACATTGACAAGATAATAAAAGAAATAGCCATAAGAATGTGGAGATAAATCAATAAAACAACCAAAACATGATCAGCTCAAGATTAAGATAATTAGATAGTCAATTATATGTAGCTCATCATGTTGGCATCATGGTATGGAATAACACTAAAGAGATACACCAATTGTCAAAACATGGTATCACCATACTCCATAGATAATGCAAGATTTTGCTCCTCACAAGCAATTTTGTTTTCATTACAATAATAATCACCAATAACTACACTCAATCCAAAACTAGTTGAATTCAACCATATAATTCTTCATATCATTTGTTCCATTTGAAACATTCCATTCCAGTTGTGTTCTCCATTAAACCTAATAAAATACTATTCCATCTAATTAAGGCGTCAAAGACTAATGGAACTGAAGGCATTATTTTTAACACGAAGCATATATATATATATATATATATATATATATATAT